TCCATTCTATCTGTCTAAGGTATTCCTTGAGTTCCTTATATGACCATTTTTCTGATGGCTCTAGGTCCTCCTGAATATTTAGGCTATCCTGCATTGTTTGTACTCCTTTTCTTCCTTGCTTTTTCATGCTGCTCATGTTACTTCTTGTTCTCTTTGACGCTGAGTTACTGTTTACTCCTATAAATTTATTTGATGCTTGGGAGAAAAGGTATTAGAAGGGAAGGGAAGAAGTCATTAAAGAGAATGAGAGTAAACAGATAGAATTCGAGGAAGGGGGAATAAGAGAATTGAAAAGAAATGAAAAGACAAATAATAATAAAAAAATGAAAATTAAAATTAAAAAAAATAAAATAATAAAAAAATTAAAAAAAAATTTTTTGAAAATTTACAAAACAACAACAAAAAATGAAAAAAAAACAAATTAAAAAAAATTAATAAATGCAGTTAGAGTTTGATTAACTTCTCTTCCAGTAGGTGGAGCTGTGCCCACTGGGCCAAGCTTCTCCTCTCAATAGGCGGGAACCAATCACTGTGCAGCAGCTTTTCCTCCCAGACTGGGAGGGTCTCCAATCCTGGGTGCCTAGGGCCTTCTCTTGTGTCTAGACACTTCCCCTCTTTTCCTCAAGCCAGGCCCCGCTCACTGGTGACGCTCACCACAATATTGGCTACATGCCAGGTCTGCTGCTCCTGGGAGCTCTGTTTTCATGAACGCCTGGGCACACTCTCCCTGTTTGCCATTCCCTCGGACCCTAAGTTTGTAGAGCTTGGGGCTGAGAACCCCCAGCGAATTTGCTTGCCCTCCGGTAGCCACGCCCCCTGTAGCTGGTGCAAGGGACCTCAGTTGTCAGCACTGGTGGGAGCGGTAGCCGGGAGTTCTTCACCGCAAGTCCCGCGCCACTCCTGATTCCCTCGTTCTGGCTATCCAGCTCACGGGAGAGCTGGGAGGGGGGAGGGGCCCTTAAGGTTTCCCCCCCGCTGTGTGGAGAGGGAAGGCTAGGAGATTACACACCTGTTGCCACTGGTTCAATGAAGTTATCTCCTCCGCTGTGTTTTGGTGACATCAGTTCACTGCCATGGTGGTATCCCATGCAAATGGTGACAGTTCGTTCCTTTACCGGGTGACCAATGTAAGGGTGGGTCCTGACTGTCTCTCTCAAGCCCTGTTTCAATCCTGTGGCCACTGCCTATGAAGGCTCGGTTGTCATTTACTTCCATAGGATCAGAAGGGCTGACCAATTGTTTCAGCGGGATCGTTAGTGCTGAGTCATAGCGGTTTGGCTGCGAGAAGCAGGCGAACAAGAGCTTGAATGCAGCTGATCCCAGCTCGGTGTGTGTTCTGAGAGGCCCGGACTGTTCGCCCCAGATCCACGTCAGCTGTGCATTGCCTTGTGATCCTGAGCAAATAGCATTTAGACAGTTTACGACTCCCTATGCCCACGCAGCTGAAGAGGTCAGAGATTTGATCTCTCCGCGCCGGCTGCCATGTTGGATCTCTCTGAGGCTGACTTTGAACTCATGATCCTCCTGCCTCAGCCTCCCCAGTAGGTGGGATCAGAGGCATGCGCCACTGTACCCGGCAATGCCAGAGAGATTTTAAATACAATTTGTATTTATCAATTAAAAACAAAAAAAAATTAAAGATAGAAATAACATGTCCTGGATTTAGTGATCACTTGGATGAAAGAAATGAAGAAGGGACTCAAAAATTAAAAATTTTAATCATGGGAGATGGGGAGAATGAGCTAGACACATGGAGGTAGAGGGAAATGAGTGAATTCCAAGACATGGTGAGTCTAGGTTATGAAAGAACATCTAAAAAGAAAGAGCCCATAGGCTGGAAGAGATACTTAAGGTGGAGAATTGAGCTGATGGAGCCAAAAGAACAGATGAGCATTCTGAGGAGAATGAAGCAGATTAGGCATCATGGGAGCCTCAGAGTTAGAAAGTAGGTAGCAGGGTTTGAGGACCGGTGAGATGATACACAAAAGAAACGTCGCCATCAATTGCACTGTCACATTTTGCTATATAGTGCTGCTTATTCTCTTGTACTCCTGTAGCCCTGGATTCCTTCTCTGAGCGCAGCATCGAAGGACTGCTGTGAAAGGCATGATGTTGATTGCAGAAAGGTGATGTTCCCCGCCAAGCAACCTAGCTCTGTTCATGTGCTGTTACTGAACCCGCACTCCTCAAATGGATGTATTGAGTGTTTCCTGTGTGTCAGACACTGTTCCACACACTGACAATATAGCAGTGAACAAAATGGATTAAACTCTGTCATGGTGCTTATATTCTGGTCTGTAGGGGCAGGTGAAACAGATACTGAACAAGATATAAAAAGAATTCAAGAGTGGTGGCACATGCCTGTAATCCCAGCGACTGGAAGTGTAAGGCAAGAGAATTGCAAGTTTGAAGCCAGCCTGGGCAACTTAGCAGACCCTGCCTCAAAATTAAAAAGCAAAATATAAAGGGCTGTTGATGTGCTCTGTGGTAGAGTACCACTTGTTTAATCCCTAGTACCTTAAAAACATTTAAAAGGAAAAATATATAAGAGGTGGTGATGAGTGCTAAGGCAGAAATGAAGCAGAGAAGGAGAGTGAGGAGTGTTGGGACTATTGGGAGTGGTGTTGCCATCTTAGAAAGGACAGCCAGGGATGGCTCAGGAGTAACACCTGAGTGAACATCTGATGGTGGTTAAGAACATTCTGAGAAAAGTGAACAGCAAAGGCAAAGGCGTGGAGCTGGGAGCATATTTGAGGAGCAGCCGGAAGCCAGGAAGCTGGAGGGCAGTAGAAGGAGGGTATGATGTCAGCCAGGTAGCAGGGATTGGGGGGAGGGGGAGAGAGTCACACTTAGGGCCTTAATCTGAGATTACTTGACCACATTTCCAGGCTCCTTTACCTGGTGGTCAAATGACTGATCTCTGACCAAGGAAAGTTGACAGAACTGATGTACACTACCTTCCACTACTGGCCATCAGTGAGCCATGTACAGTTTTCTAAGTCCTCTTTCTATAAACCCTTTAAACCACAGGATGGAAGGAATCCAAGTTCCTATGAAAGAGCCACTCATTGACCGGAAGCAATCATTTTGGACTTTTTGTGGGTAAGAAGTAAAAATTAGTTGGTTTATGCCATTTATGTATGGGGGTTTATCTCTTATGGAGCCAGCATTCTGCTAATATAGGTGGGAAGACATCGTTTTGAGTAGAGAAGGGACATGATCTACGATTTTAATAGAATTACAGTAGACTGGAAAGGGTAAGGTTAGAAGCAGGGAGGGCATTGAGGAAGATTATTTTTTTTTTGATAGTGCAGGTGGAGTGATGGTGGAAGTTTTGTCCAGGTGATTCAGTGAAAGTAGTGAGAGGGGTCAGATTCCGAATAGATTTTGAAAGGATTTCCTGATGGGTTAGAAATGGGGTGGAGAGGGAGAGAAAAAAAAGTCAAAGATAAACTGAAAGGTTTTGGGCAACAAGAAAAATGAAGCTGCCATTTACTAGATGGGGGAAAATTTGGGGAGAGTAAGTTTTGTGTGATAACATTGAAAGATTAGTTTGGACTTGTTGAGATGCCTGGCTGTGGGAGACCAACCTTACGGGTGACTGAGTTACACTCCCCAGCTGGGTGCTGAGGCACTCAGTCACAGAAATGGGTGTGTCTTGCTACAGCCCCATGGGTGAAGCTATGCTCACCTGTTCCTCTGTAATATAACCCCTTGCCCTGTTTAGGGTAGAATATTCCATGGAAGTGCCTTGTGTGTGTCCCCTTCTCTTACTGTGCCCTTGGGTGTGGCCTACCCAGGTGTCAGTCAACCTGCTGATAGTGGACATCATGAAGACAGACTCAGCCCCCTGAAACCTGACCCCTTGCCTCATTTGAATAGCTTCTCCTCAATAAAAGGAGTCAGCGCATGCTCTCGCTCTCTTTCTGCAGACCCTTAAGGTCAGAGGAGCCGTCACAGCGACCCCAAAGAAAAAGGTATTTGTGTCTCTTGTGTGGTTATTTCGTGTAGCCCAGTTAGCCCAGTTTAACTAGAGTGACCCCTGAGCCTTTTAGTCGCGAGAACAGAAACCCGGCACCTGGTAGGAGCGACAGGTTGTAGGATTGGTGGGGTTGAATGAGACTCAAACTCAGAGGAAAAGATAGGAGGTGGCATAGTGGGACAGTAGGAGTAATGGGGTAGGATGCAGGTTTTAATGGAAAAATCTAGTTGAAATCAGAGGAGTCAGTGGCTGAGAAGGGTGGAGGATAGAAGCTCATAGAATGGTGACCGGAGTATGGAAGGGTCATCTATGTGGACATTGAAATCACCAATAGTTAGGATGTAATTCATCCTTGGGAGGACAGTGATTCAAGAGCTTATTTTTTTTTAAGTTCTCCAACCATTTCAGTCTAAAGCCCCATTTGATGAAGACAAAGACCCTTTTGGAATATCTTAAACCAGAGCAAAAACATCCAAGAAACCTTCCAGTTGGAAGTTAGTTGGCTGTTCTGCAATCCTCATAGTCTGGACTTTATTGAATGCAAAATATTGCACAAATAAAAAGAGACCAGTCCATGGGCCATCAGACAGGACACTTTTTAGAAGCCCTCTTGATCTATAACTTGTGAACATGTACTTTGAGCCTATCATCATCTCTCTTTGGAATCATTAATTTAATAAGCACTAGCACAGTATGTCAGCATTTCAAGGGAATGTCATACACAAAAGAAATTAGCCAGTGTTTGCAGGACTGACACAACAGCAAACCTAGGAAGTTTGAAAACCAAAGAGCAATTCACTCTACTTTACACACATCTTACAACCTTCTGTAGGAAGCATTCCTCAACCTCAAACCCAAGTCTGACACACCAGGGCTGTGCTAGCAAGGCCAGGTTAAGAACAGTCTAAGGAAGCAGGTATATAGCTTGAATCAGAAGAGAAGGACCATAAAGCAAAACTGGTGAAAGGGGAATTTGAAGGAGAGTCCCTTGCACTGTTCAGAGTGATCTGAACAGAGAAGAAAACACACTTTTTTTTTTTTTTGGTTTATGGCTTTACTTTCAAGTTTTAAATTAGATAAATAGAAGCTTAGTGAGGCATCTCTCAGTGATGTACTTCTTCTCTTGTCCTCTTCATCTGTTCTCCCAAGTCTCTTCTGCTTCCTTCTGTTACCTCTTCTCTTTGTATCTCTTATCTTCTTTGACTCCCTCCTGCCACCTCTCTCTTCATCTCCACTTGGCTCTCTTCAGCCTCCCCTCTGCTTCTGCTCCTCACATTGCTTCTCCATCTCTTGGCTCCAGCCATTCGGAGTGCAGGTCTTTCTGTGCCCACTCACGGCCCTTGGGATGGGATTGGGCTGTGCTTGTGTGTGGTACTGAGGATGCAGAGGTAAGCACAGCTGGAATGAGGAAAGGCTCTGCTGTCACCACATGATGATGATGACCCTAGTTTTCTCTTAGTTGCTGCTTTCTCTTCCCCTCTGTCCAGATAGAGTCCCTGGATGGAGCTGAATGCTGCCCAACAGTGTTGGTTAGGGTTGCACAGACTTGCCCCCGTGTAAGTCAAATAGAGTTTCCTGTGAGTGTCAGAGAGAAAAGTGTTTGATAGCATATAAATCACTCAGAAAGTTCTTTTATAGGCACATAGAGACAATAGTCTCTCCTTATATTTGTGGGGCAAGGATGCCTGAAATGGCAGATAGTACCAAAACCTGCAAATATTCTGTTTTACCTGTAGGTATGTATCTGTGATAAAGCTTAATTTACAGGTTAGGCATGGTAAGAAATTAACAATAATAACTATCTTTAAAAAGAAAAATTATAACAACATAACAAAAATTATGCAAATGTAGAATGTAGTTCATTCTCTCTCTCTCTCAAAATGTGGAATTTTCAATTTAATATTTTTTAGATTGAAGTTGTCTAGGTTAACTGAAACCTCAGAAAGCAAAGCTGCGGATAAAGAAGAAGGGGACTACTGTACTCAGGTTAATTTTTTAAGCTGTCAATTATTAATGGTCTCTTGTAAGCATTAGTGGTTCATGCCGAGTATTGTAGCATGCACCTGTAATCCCAGCTACTTGGGAGATTGAGACAGAAGGATGGCAAGTTTGAGGCCAGCCTCAGCAATTTAGCGAGACATTGTCTCAAAATAAAAAATGAGCCAGGTCTGTGATTCCAGTGGTTTGGGAGGCTGAGGCAGGAGAATAGTGAGTTCAAAGCCAGCCTCAGCAACCTAGCAAAATCCTGTTTCTAAATAACATATAAAAAATGGCTGGGGAGGGGCTGGGGATGTGGCTCAAGCAGTAGCACGCTCGCCTGGCATGCGTGCGGCCCAGGTTCGATCCTCAGCACCACATACAAACAAAGATGTTGTGTCCGCCGAAAACTAAAAAATAAATAAATGAATATTAAAAAAAATGGCTGGGGAGGATATGGCTCAGTGGTTAGTACCCCTGGGTTCAATCACCGTACCAAAAATAAAAATTAAAGAAAAAAAAAAAAAAAGAAAAGAAAAGAGCTGGGAATGTAGCTCAATGGTAGAGTGCCCCTGGATTCAAAGCCCTAGTTGGGGAGGGAGTGAATTATTGATTTTTTTTTACTTTAGAAAACAAATCACCCCACCTTCTCTATGCTCTGTCTCTGTCAGACCACATAGGAGATCCTTCACAGATTCTTATTAAATGAATGAAGGATGGATGGGGGAGTCTTGGAGCAAGAAGAGAAGAAGGTGGGACCTCAGGGAAGTTTGCCTGACCCAGGCCTCCCTCTCTGTACCCCAACCTTGGCAGTACAGAGACTACCAAGTGATGTGTGGTGGAGCAGGGCTCTAATCCTAGCTCCTCAGGAGGTTGAAGCAGGAGGGTTTTGCAAGTTCAAGGCCATCCTTAACTTAACAAGACCCCATCTCAAAATTTTAAAAGGGCTGGGGGTGTAGCTCAGTGATAGAGCACTTGCCTAGCATGTTCAAGGCCCTGGGTAGAATCCCCATTACTGGGAAAAAGTAAAAGAAAACAAAGTGCCAAGAGCTGTAGGAAAAGAGACTGGCTGGAGGGAAGGGTGGTTAATAACTCCCCGAGGAATCTCTTACACCTCTCCACAGAGCAAGGAGACGGAGCCCCAGCATCATTCTACACATGTCTTTGTCTCCAGTCACTTGTGAGAACTCTGGGAGCTCTGGAGGAGCCACACTGCAGAGGTTTGCTCGGCCCCATTGGAGGCAGGGAGGTATGTAGCAGGAGAGAAGAGAGCAGGAGTCACATCAACCATGCCCCTCACTCCCACCTCACTACGTGCTCTGAAATCACCATCAGCACTGGACCCAGTCCTGAGGCTGAGCACCAGTGCTGTCCCATGAAGACCCCCAGACCAACCCCATCACCATACCTATGGATGGGGCCAGCTGTGGCCAGGTGGAAGCTGCCAGAGTGCTGAGGAGTGAAAGTGGCTGCGGCCCAGAGGGGTTCTCTCTTTCCCACTCTCCACAAGTGAACGATTCCCTCCAACTGAGGTCACGGGTACAAGGGATGCTGTCTTCCCGGGCAGTATATTTCTCTAGGTTAAGAAAAGAAAAGCATTTGCACTCTGGCTTACAGAGCACTCTTACAGCTTACAGCCAGTCATTGGGGTGGGGTGGACTACTTATGCGCCAGGCACTGTTCCAGACAATTACACACATTCTTCCTCATTTAAGCCTCATGACAACTTGGTGAGGGCCGTGCTGCCATAATCCCCATTTTATGGAGAAGAAATGTAAGGTCCAGAGAGGTTGAGTAATTTAACAATGGTCACATTATGAGGTGGCAGAGTCAGAATTCAAAGCCAGGCAGCCTGGCTCCAGAGCTCACATTTTTCCCATCACACCATGTGTGCAAGACAGCCCCATTGAAAGGAGGGACCCACTGTGGCTGGGACAAGTTAACTGAGTACATTTCTCCCAGAAGATTGGCCAGCTGAATTGGCAATGGCCTTGAACTCAGATCAAAGCCAGAAACTGTTCTTGGTCTCCTTAGCCCTGGTTAGGGCTGAAACCTTGGCATCACCCGGGAGCATGTTTCAAATGTACTATTCTCCAGCCCCCAGACCTAATGAATTAGAATCTGCACTTTAACAAGACTTATATGGTCTGTTTGTGCTTTAAATTTTGGAAAACACTGCAGTCTTAGGCCATGCCACCCACTGATGGAGAGCCAAAAGGTTAGCTATGCAGGTAAGCTTTGGGCCTCTGGTTTTTTCCAACTCTCTCTAGTTCCACAGGCTGGAGTATAACTGCCCTTTCAAAGTGTCTTTCCACTACCTGGTCCAGTGAGAAAAGAGGTCCAGAGGACATCCCAGGATGGTTCATTGAAATTAGCCTAGGAGCATTTTCAAACATCTGGCCCCCATGACATCAGATATTCTGTGACCTTGAAATTCTAGCTGTTCTCTTCAGTCTCAGAAATAAATTAGAAACATTCTCTGTTTCTGTTTTTTCCACCCTAACTTTGTGGGTTATGTTTAAGTATGTACGTACCTGTGTGTGTTTATGTTTGAATGCATGTGTAAAAATCAAATGTCACAGAACAGGAGAAAGCAGTCAGACTGGGAGGAAATGGAATTCAGCAGCAGCTCTGCTCGCCATTCAGGACAGGGGCTGTGAGCTGGCTGAACGTGGTCTGTGGCTATGTTATGTTTGCCCACTAGATGTTACCCTACACTGTGCTTTAATTTTTTTAATGGAGGAGGGACATGCCATGTTTTTTTTAAAAAAATCCATATTTAAGTCTTTCAAAAACTTAAAGTATGTGGCATTAGCAGACCTGTGTTCTAGCACACCCACAATCAATTGAAACCTTCCCCTTTTTTTGTTTTGTTGCCACTGTCCCCACCACTCCCTATTGTCTCTTCAAGGTTGAAACTAAGGTTCTGCTGCCAACAGTTTGTTTATGTATATATATTTGGTTGTTGATGGACCTTTGTTTTTATTTCATTTATATGAGGTGCTGGGAATTGAACCCAGAGCCTCACACATGCTAGGCAATCACTCTACCATTGAGCCATAACCCCAGCCTCTCAACAGTACTTTGATTATAACTGAGTTAGAGAAAAGTCAACTACTTCTTCTATTAATGTCCCCAGACTTTTACCCATTTATACCACCAGTGTGTAGGCCTGGTTTGGACAAAAATTAGTAGAGCTCCCTTAAGAGTAACCTCCTCTAAATTCCGAAATAGAACATGATGTTCTGTCTGTCTCCTGAGCCAATATGGAGAATAATTTGTTCGTAGTATGGTATATGGGTATTTATTGAACTCCTATTGTGTCCCCAGCCTGTGCTTGTTGGTGTGCATAATTCAGAGACATGAATACAGTTTAGTATTTGTTGAAGAAATAAGCCTACAAGACAACTAGAGAATAATGTTGAGAGTTTATGACAAGGACAGATAAGTTTGGGCAGGAAGGTGGTGCGAACATAGGGTTTAGGACAGGTAGGATTTAAAGTGAGCCTTGAGGGGAGGGGAACAGAGAGGGGATGAATGAGCTATGGGAAAGAATAGCTGAGGTTTGGCTGCAGAAGCTGTGGGCTGGAGGTGGGTGATGAGGAGGCAGAGGAGGTGAGAGACAGGTAGGATGGGGAAAGTTTATGCAGGGCTGCAAGTGAATTGGGGATAAACTAGAACCGGGAAATAAGACAATCAACTACTGCTTCCAGAATGTGTCAAGACCGCCCACACAGATGGCCTCTTCTTCCCGGAATGCCTTCCCTCATCCGCTCAGCCAGCTCACAGGAATTCATCATCCCCCATGACTCGGCTCAGACCCCGAGCCTCCTGGGCCAGAGTCCTGGGGGGCATGAGAAACCTCCTTCTTTGTGCTCCTTTGGCAGGAGAGGTTTTGTAATTTTGGTATTTACCCATCTGACTCCATTCCAGGATAAAGTCCTTGAAAGGGCCACTGTGTTTTTCTACACAGTGACCCCAAAGCCTATCAACAATGAGTGGCACTTATAAAACACTCAGTACATGCTTTTGAATAAAAAAAATGACTGAATGAACTAGTGGGAAATTACTGCAGTCTTTGGGGGAAGGACTGAGTGAGGATAAGGTCTATGGGTCCTGGAAATGAAGTAAAGAATATAAAAAATATTTCAAACTGTTGTTAGAACTTGGTGCCAAATTGACTATAGTGGCAAAATTGCCCAGAGGAATTCTACTGCGGCAGGGAAAGATCATGGCAGTCCCCATGGCACCAGGAAGGTCAGGAGAGGGAGCAGCAGAGGATCTGACTCCTAGGCCTGCGGTGGGGACAGTTCTCCCAGGCACAGTGCCTTGGCCCTCTCTTACCTGTGCAGATCTTGTGGATCTTCATCTTTTTGCAGCTCCTGGAACTCCAGTCATTTCAAGGTCAAGGAAATGAAGGTTGAAAGTAAAAAGAATAGAACATCAAACTCGTATTTCAAACTTATTTCTAGTTAGATTTTTCCTGATGCAGAAGCTTTAGAGAGATGTAAATATGAAAAAGACCAGCTGTGGCTACATTAGGTGGGTGCAATGCATATTAAATTTCCAGAAGAAAAAAAAAAAAGGAAGAGAGGGAGGTAAGATGGGGGAAGCAAGAAGTAGAGCCCATGCTACTGATTTCTAGTTAGATTTTTCCTGATGCAGAAGCTTTAGAGAGATGTAAATATGAAAAAGACCAGCTGTGGCTACATTAGGTGGGTGCAATGCATAT